TAAAATAATAGAAGGATTGTGCAGCATAATTTTTGTGGAAACTGATAAATTTCTTCAGGATTTATTTGATACAAAATATAAATATTTTGTTACCTTGTCTTTATTGTCACTTTGGAACAGTCTATTGCATGCTTGCTAAATAAAAGTATTCATTTTGTGAAGAAGAAGAAGAAGAAAAAAAGTTTTCTGACCCCAATTTTTTTGAATCGTAGTATATAAATGAATTTTAATTCATTTTTGAGTTTTGAAAATCCAAAAGGTTTTTATTCAGTAAGCACTGCACAATGAATCTCTTATTTACATCATGTTTGCACTGTTAGTCATGATGAAAGCATTCTTGAGAGAGCAAAACTAGAGTTGCAATGACGAGATCACTGCGTTCATGTGCTCAACAGTCTGTCATCGGCTACAATGCTCATCTCTGCAACCTTTCATGCGATGGGAGTAGATCTAAATATAATGCTATAATCAACACTCTCCATGATTAGGTAATCTCAACAGCTGTAACAGTAAAAATGTAGTAAAAGTTTTTGAGAGAGCTCCACATGTAATACTTAAGATGTTAGCCAATCACAGCAGTGGGCGTTTCCATTGAAGTCTCACAGCAGACACGCCCCTTCCAAATCAGAGAGCTAAAATCAGGGTAGAAAACAGCATTTTATTTTTCTTTGATGTAAAAATCATACTAGTATTATTAGTGCACCTCAGGAAACAATGAAATGCTTTAAAAATGCAGTTCATGACCCCTTTAAAGTTGTCTAAATTGTCTAGGTGGATGAACTTCTGGTTTGCAGAGTGATTCTTCAGGGTGGAGTTTTCTTCATATAAACAGTGTTAGATAGTTAAGTCACATCTCTCTCTGTAGTCTTTGTTTGTATCATGTGAAAATTTCAGGTTTACGTTATCATGACAATGAATTTTCATATAACAGACAAAGTCATCAGGACATTCTAACACACTAATCTCATGTTAGCATGTATACTATGTTTACATATATTTATTTATAATTTATATGTGTACTGATTTCCTGTGATAACTGTCATCATGCCACAAAAGCTGAAGTTGTATCGAACCCAGAGCATTCCTTTGAAAGGTCTCCACTGTGTCCCTCCACAGGAGCTCAGGAGTTAAGTATAATAAAATCTGGTATGCAGCGCTGGCTCTGGTCACACTGGTGCTGTTCTCCGTGGCAGTGGGAGCCTTGGTGTTTATGATCATGTTCTACACGGACCCAGAAGCCTGCTTCCTCAACAAGCTCTTCCTGGGTGTCAACGGCGGCCTGTGCTTCATCGTGTCTCTGCTGGCTATCTCGCCCTGCATTCAGACCTGTGAGTTTACAAAGATGCTTGGTCTTCACTGACCTACATTTTATACTAACAAACAGATGTTTGTTTGATGTCAGGCAAACAAATTTATTCATAGTGCCTGAAGCTTTTCTCATGTGTGATCAAGCCAGAGAGTTGAGGAATAGTGTTTTATCATGGATTCTCACTAGAGAAAATTGTTTTAGCAAGTAATTTAAGTAAAATAAAATCTGTTTTTCTGAACTTTCTGGAAAAAAAATGTATCATGGTTTCCACAATTAAGCAGCCCAACTTTTTTCAACATTGGTAATAATAGAAAATCAGCATATATGATGTGACACTGAAGACTGGAGTAATGGCTGCCTGTAATTCAGCTTTGCCATCACAATAATAAGTTACATTTTAAAATACATTAGAATAGAAAAGATACTTTAAATTGTAAAAAAAAAAAAAA